TAAAAATTTCTGCTTTTCTGCGCAAGGGCTAACTTTAGTGGAAATATGCTAACTACATTTTTTGTAGGAAATTTTCGTCTCTTTACTTTTGCTCACCACATATTTTCTCGTAAAGTGCACAGTTTTGGAGATATCGGCGGAAAACCGCTTTTGACGGCCATCTTGGTAAGATGGCGGCCCTGGCGGCAAGTTTAGAATTGTGCATTTTATGAATTTTAGTTCTACGCACTCAAACATACAAAATTTTTGTACTTCCCGAGTTACTTCCAGTTAAAAATCCTCAATGACTAGCCTATTAGCAGAACCTCTAAAAGTCGAAATAATTTCCAAACCGTATGTTTTGCTGGCAAACTTTTTACGGCACAAACGAAGCACTAACCAACCCACCTAGTCTCGACATTTGTGCCTTCAATGTGCTGCTAACTTCACGGACCCAATTTCACTACTTCAGGGAAGTATGATATGCTCTCGATAATCACTCTAATGTCGTTGGATTGGTCGACGGGGGCTGATGCGATAGACCCACATTACCAGTGAATCTCCAAGAGCTTAGAAATTGGATTATTGCTCCAGCGACAGAAGTGGCTCCAGATATACTTGATAAAGTGTGGCAAGCAATTGATTTCCGATGAGACGTTTGCTGTATGACCGCTGGTAGTCACATCCACCTAAAGTGAAAGTTACAATATGATGTATGGGATGAAACTTGAAGTATTTTGTTACAATATGATACCTCAATGCCTCAATCACATGTATAAGTCTTCTTAATAAAATTCTATATGCAAGAAAAGTTCTTTTGTATAATTAGATCTTTGCCGTTCCAACACATGGCATTCGGGATAGAGAGTAAGGTGGTTTTATGAACTGCGGACGGTGAACTAGGAGTGGTGCCTCTACGTTATAGGCGTTTTAAATGGAGGTTTCTGGGCCAAAAAGAGATAACAATAGGAATGGCAGGTTTGTCACTGGTCGTGGATGTTATCCATTCCTTCACAAACACGTCTTACCTGTTGTTATCCATTTTTGGCGTAGCAACATCCATTTAAAACGTATTTAACATAGAGCACTGTTCGTAGTTCACCGTCCACAGTTCATAAACCTAGATACCCACTTGCTCTCCAACCTTAATGCCACGTGTTAGAACGACAAAGATGTATATAGGAAAAGGACGACAAAGCAAGATTTTGCGTCGAATACAGATACAGATAAGAGGCTTGGGAACGGCCCAAATCTTCTCCACCCTTGATCTCCAATCAGGCTACTGACTACTACCCTTAGAAGACGCATCGAAACCAGTAACCGCCTAATGGAGTCGGACAAAAGTTCCGCGTTATGCCATTCGATCTATAGGACGCACCAGAATCATTCCAAAAACTAATGACACAGGAAGTTCCACCAGGATATCTCCGCAAGGGATAGTTTACCTACACGACATCATGATCTACTCTCAAACATTGAACGACCATCTCCACAACCCACACTTAGTGATGGAACGCCTTCCCGTCAACAAATGCTGCTTCGGAGTACATAGTCACTGGGATAGGTACCTCAGACACACGATCAAGGCAAACGGCGACCTACCCCCTAACCAAGCACGTGGAATACACACGCACCGGCCGACACGCTTAGGACAGTTTTCTGGGCCTACCCAATGGGGCGAGAAAATACGTTCCGCGGTGCGGCGAATTACAAGCACCCCACGAGAATCTACACAGAAAGATTCGGTCTATCGATGGACCGAGGCGGACATCAAAGAAGCAATCAGCCGACCACTAGAACTGCGCCGACCAGACTTCCGAAACCCGTTGACCATTCAGGGCGATGGCAAAAATGCAAGACGCGAGCATACACGCCTACCAAGACGCCCCGACTGCTGGTATCCCAGAGGATAGAGACGTTTACAGCATGTGGGTAGAGGGCACAACTACCATCGAAACCGTGGGTGACAAAATATAGAACGTAAGTGTTTTTCCAAAAAATTAGTAACATCAGCTAAACTCGTTTACCCAAAATTGTCCTGAAACCTTCATTTTCATGCCTACTTTCTGTCAGGAAATTTTAGTTTACCCAAAATCGTCATGAAACCTTCATTTTTATTATACTTCATTGAAATCACCTTATTTACACCTGTATTAGAAATAATGGTATCTGGCCTTTTCCAGGCTAGCGCACGGAAAAACTTTTATTTGTTACTCAGTTGTAAACGTTGATTAACAAGACAAAACGCAAACGGGTAAACGTCATGTTTAAACGCTACTGACTTGTAAAACTGACAGCAGACTTGTAAAACTGACAGCAGACCTGTAAAAATTTTACAAGTTAGTAATCTAGTAATTTCATTGGCCAGAATTAATGCGAAGTCTCTGTTACATGGATCACATGATATTTTAGACATTTCTTCAAGATCAATTTAAGAACTAATTATTTACGTTTACAAATGAGTAACAAATAAAATATTGTACATTATACGCCAGGTAAAAGTTTTTACTGGCTCTAGGAGATGACAGGCTCGCCTAACGGCTCGCCAGTCAACTTCTCCTATCGCCAGTAAAAACTCACTTACCTGGCTAATAATGTAAAATACTATTCCCGATCCCTTTGATTCTTTCCGTGCGCTGAATATAAATACCCAAAATATTGCTTTGAAATACAAATTTACAGGGAAGTAAAGTAATTTTCAGAAAATCTATATGCGTTGTAATGTTTCATATGTAAGTATTTTGCGTTTTAATTCGTAGATGTTTGAATATTTAGATAAACTTCTTTGAGATTTTGTGACATTTTTTGACGTTTCGTCAACCTTATCTGAAATAAACTAATTAAACAAATCGCCTTTGAAATGATTTGAGAGTAACCATGAAAACGCATTTTCTATAACTGTTGCAAAATAAAAATGTTGGCGAGTTTGTTGTTTTTTGTTATCGATTTAAAAGAAGTATAATAAAAAATATCGTTCATTACATGTCCAGAAATGCTTTTTCCGTGCTTGCATTTGTCACGCGTGCACGGCCTTCTTTCCGGACTCGTAATGAAATATACTATTTCATTCCTACTTTATGTCAGGAAAGTGTTAGTTTTCATGACGGAGGCAGATCAGTCTACTTTTCCTGCCGCAATTGTCACTTTACCTGCCGCACCTGTCACATTGCTAAATGTCTATAATGACTCCTGTCATCATTGACAGATTGGCATTAATCAAAAGTTCTATATGAAAATTAAAATTTTATATTAAAATACGATTTCGGGTAAAATTTAATACAAATCTCGTCAGTAAAATGACATTACTTGACTCGGAAATGAAAGTACTCGACCCCGAAGAAAGAGGCCTTGTACTTGAATATTTTCTCGCCAGTAATGTGTCATTTCCCTGACTTTTATGTAAATAACTAACTTAACAGAGGCAGAGCAGACTACGTTTCTTGCCACACCGGCACTTTACCGGCCGCATCTGTGACATTGCTGAATGTCTAGAATGATTCCTGTCATCACTGACAGATTGACATTAATCAAAAATTCTATATAAAAATTGAAATGTTATATTAAATAAGATTTCGGGTAAAATTCAATACAAAACTCGTCACTAAAATGATACTACTTGACTCGGAAATTAAAGTACTCGGCCCCAAAGGGGCCCCGTCCTTCAATATTTCCTCGCCAGCAATGTATCATTTTCCTAACTTGTGTAAATAACTATTTTAGCCATTTAACCAAAATGATGACAAAAACCGATTTTTTAAAGCCCGTTCTGTTACCAAAAATCAGCTTGCAATCAGAGCTGTGGGTACTGCGAGTGTTTCGTTTGGAAAAACGCTCCAAGCATAAAAAGCGCTAGCGAACTTTTCGAAGCGTCCGCTTGGTGCTCCGATACTCGAGCGCTTTTTTCTGCCCGCGAGCGGTTTTTTCGCCACGAGGGTTTTTTATCGCTCTAACTTCTTTTTTCGCTCGCAAGCTCTTTTTCAGCTCACGAGCGCTTTTTCCGCTTGGGGCGTTTTTTCCGCTCACGAGCATTTTTCCCGAGCGCTCGTGATAGCTCGAGCACTTTTAGGAGTGCTCGGATCTTGCAATAAACGGTTTCGCTTTGTCAAATAGCTCGATGCTCTCGAATTTTTGAGACAATTAGAGCACTTGTCGCTCGTCGCTCGAGCGGTTTTTTAGAACGCTCGATCCAGCTCTGCCTGCAACTCAGAAAGATCATCTTCATTTAAAATTTGTGAAAAAATTGTCCACAATTTAGAGCTATTGAACGTTATTCACTTTTTCACTCGTGATACATCAAGTTTATAGTATCTTCCGCTGAAATTGGGCCACAAATGAGAAAGGTGCGTACAATTTTGTTGCGTCTTTTAGTCAGCGGATGTACAGTCTATTTTTCGATGTGCGCTTAATTTATTTCCTTATAAGATTCCTTAGAATTTAAGTAAAAACCTTCCATAAATAAGATGGGTCTGCGCATGCGCAATCCCTATTATAACACCTAATAAATAATAGCGCCAAGTAGGTAGTAACCATGGTTGCAAAGTCAATTTTTTTCTGTTATGGCCGCTTCCTCAATCAGATTGGGGTTTGGGAAGGACCAAAATGCAACAAGCGTATAAGATTTATAACCACAAAGGTTTTAATTTGTGATAAATGGGAAAAATAGATTTTTTGCTATAACTTTTTTCGTAAGTGGCACAAAAAATTCCTCCTTTGGTGCAAACCTTAACATCATACCAAAGGACATCAATAAAATTAAAGCAATATCTCGTAAGATAGAGACCCCTGGATCGACAGACTGACGGATAATGGGACTACGCAGTAGTACCTGTTTATATTTTTGAGGAAATGCACTAAAAAAACTCATCGCTTAGTGAGTTTCACCCTTTTCTAGTTTTCTTATCACATCCCATACAACATTTGCACCCCTCTGTGACTCTTTGTTTTCGCGAGTATACCATCTTGCAATTTACGCATGGGTGTACACTGGTCCGTAAGATGCAAATAAGTAATGTATGTTTTACCTCAACGCAAATCCAACTAGGTGCGATGCAGGCGGATATTATGCTGAGATTTTGAGCACGGTTCATCCAAACCGCAGACACTTGGGTGTTACCCTGTCCAATCCAACCGGCCGATGTTAAATAATAATCTCTGAAACACATGACTGTGCGAAAATATTAATGGCGGGGATGAGTTGCGTAACGTACTGTTTTGAAATAGCCGCAGGCGGAAATACCTGCCATCTACGAAGATCAGTCAAATTATTAATATCTAATACCCATAATTGCACTGTTGGATTAGGCGTACCAGGCTAAAATGTCCTTAGGTTATGTTTAAAACGTTTAATACAAAAAGCTGCCACTTACTGTAGGATATCTTACGGATCGATACGGAGGAAAGGTGGGTGCACTTAATACTGCTCCTCCAGCGGCTAAAATGCTTCCTGAAGTAAACCACGGGTAAATCAATGTTCTTACTTCACTGTCGTTGAAGGAGGCGTAGAGCAAATGCGTCGAATCATAAGACGTCCACAACGACTCGGGTTTCTTTAATACATCCTCTATGAAAGTTTCCCACTGAGTGGGTATACAAAATTGTGGCCTGTTCCAATCTTACCTTGATACAACCAATCCGGTAAACCGTTGTATACAATGTCGGGTTTACCAGTAAAAGTTAACCTAATATCCGTTTCATCTGAAGGCGACTGGCGATAGTAGATATCGTTATCAAAAATTATAAGTAAGGCGGTAGTTTGTCCCAACCAACGAACGTGTTGCAGTCTTTGACGCTGAGTTTTGGAAGCGGTTGACAATCGTACTGGAATGTGATGACTGCAAATAACAAAGATTATCACTCATTGTTGGTAAGAGCTGATGTTGAGGGTTGAGTAAATACGCTAACAGTAACATGCTATGAAGCCCTGTAAATACTAGTCCAAGTTTACATTTACTCTGTGGGTCAGGCAGTTTGCGTATTGCCTCCAAATAATATTCTCTGCAGAATATACAGCACGGAGATATTAGCCGGCCCATGTGGCGCAGTTCAGTTGAAACTGGACTGTGGTGCTAAGGGTCCCTGGTTCGAAGCCGGGTTCGGGTATTTTATTTGTAAATCTATAGTGGGTTGTGTTGTTAGAGCAGCCTTGGCTGAAACCCCGCCTCACTCAAAAATAAAGGCAAATAAGTAAAATAAAAAATATTCCGTACACCAATGTTCGCTTATGGAAAATTTGAACGCACATTGAATGTAGTAGAGGAAGTTGAAAAAGTTTCCTTGCATGGAGTTTACGGGAGGGGAGGGAGGTTGACTACTAACACACTTTGCTTGGGTGTGAAGGTTTTACATAGGTTTCTAGGATGTCTTTCTGATCCAATATTTCAATAGTCGAAATCAAATATCTTCGAAGCCATTGCCAATATCTATATGGATTATGGAGCGAACTATCGGGCGTGAATTCCTGGACCATTTTCGTTGTGTTACGTTCATTCTTGCATATTTTACTTTACACATTTACAAAGCTAATCTGACCAAGCTAGAGCTTTGGGATAGAAAGATCGACGATAAGAAAACCTGCCTAAACATTGATCTCCTCCAAACATGCGACTTTCCACACTTAACCCTTTGATCAGTATAGAGACTGTGTGCAATGAAAATCTGAATCTAAGTAAATAGTCTCATTTATACCAACAACTATAATGTGCCGACACACAAACTTAAATAGTAGCCAAATAAGTAAATCGATAAGAAAATAAAAAGATACGTACTCATTGCTGACGTCGTAGATGGTATAATGTGCTGTAAAAGATTGTCGGAATACCTGAAACAAGGAAAAATGTTACTAAAATATATGAGAAAAGTTTCTATGTATTCTTTAATACTGCTTCTATTTGCTTTGAAATATTTACGCGAAGCTCTACGTAACTTTCACAATGAATTTTCATCTACGGAAAGCGCATATCCGTTTGCTCGTAGATAAGTGTCCACATTATTTTTAACAGCATCATATCTCCACGAGCAAAGCATTATTTGCAGTATCTACTTTCCATACCGAAAATGTAATTGGTGGTGTTGACGTTGAACGTCCTTAATGCGGAATATTGCAGGGTGGTTTATTTTCCGGCCACAACATTGAGGTCTCGGAGACCGATAGCTTTATTACTGCGAAAGGTACGAAAAATGGTAAAAGGAAATCTATTTTGAGCGAAAAGTATTCCATTTTCTAATACGAAATCCGTTTCTATTAAAAGAATTAAAAACAGTGATATATTTCTGGGACACTGACTTACTTGAAGTGTACACAGTGAGTCAACGATTGCGCGGAGTAACTTAATGCCTTGAAGATAAGATTTTTTAATAGAGTGCTTTTGTATTATGATATTGTTGAATATTCTCCACATTTTAAAAATATTTGGAATTATACAGGGTGCGCCCACAAAGTAGGGTGCCAGAATGGTACATTTTTTAAAATAGAACTCCCTGTATTTAAATGCATTTTTGAAATCTACGTGTAATTGTACGATATGGTTAATATCCTAAAAGCTAGTAGTTTTAAAGATAATTCGATTTTTAAGAAAAATTGTGCATTTGCAAGCGTCAGTATATTGTCAAAATTATTACTTAAATTTTGATTCCAGGTTTTATATCTTTTATCCTGGGTTAAGTAAAAATCAAATAAATACATCTACTATAAAACATTAAAAAAATAGCTTACAGGGTGTTTTTTTTCTAGATCCAAAGCTACAAAACATAATATTAAAAAATCTCACTTATTTTAAATGGAACACCCTGTATATTTTTCTGTCATTTTTTAGCCCCTCCAAAAACCTTCAGCTTTTGATAAGAAAGTCCTATACCTATCTCTGATAGTTTCCGAAATATCTTGGTTTTCCTGGTTTTTATATTCTAATCTTAATTAAGTTATATGTAATTTACATAATAGTGAGGCGGCCATGCAAAAAAAAGGCAATTTTTATCTGCCTCGTTCAAAGCTAAAGTCATATTTATTATTTCATTTTTCTAATACTCGTAATTCATTTAAGTCTATAAAAACTGGAGAAAATTCGAATTATCTTTAAAACTACTAGCTTTTCGGATATTAACCATATAATAAAAAAGACGTACAATTACAAGTATAATTTAAATATGCATTCAAATACAGGTGGTTCTATTTAAAAAAATGTACCATTGGTGCGCCCTACTTTGTGGGCGTACCCTGTATAATTCCAAATATTTTTAAAATGTGGAGAATATTCAACCATATCATAATACAAAAGCACTCTATCGAAAAATCTTATCTTCAAGGCATTAGGTTACTCCGCGCAATCGTTGACTCACCCTGTACAAAACCTTTTCCTTTGATATACAGCAATTCTTTTTAGTAAACAAAACCTTGTTCAAAGGACGAACGATAAGTCTTCTAACTCGAAGACAAATCGCTAAACTCAACAATAAGAAAAAATGAAAACTCCAAAATGTGATAGCCTATAGGGCTATTGCCCTATCTGTTCTACACTATTAGGGTTAACCTACTGCCAAATGTCATTCTAACGAGTGGCTGCTTCAAATTTGAATTTTGTTCAGCATAAGAAAATGTACACATATACCGCTTCATAGCGAACGTGAACGAAAGTATGTCTAGAAATAAGTGATAACGTGCATGTGTACGTGATAAAATGCCAGGGATACCGGATTGTAAGGTGGTTTTCTGAGACGAGGTTAGAATTTCAAAGAATTAGCACGTATTGTTTGTGGTGAGAATTTTTTTCTCCATTATTTTGCACCTAATTTCGAGAGCGGTTACGTATCATCTTAGGTGCGCTAAAACTTTCGTTTATGAAAGTTTATAAAGTAGCGATATATATTGTTACCAGTTGTATTTTGAATGGACAAATTCTAAACAAGAAACGACATTTAAAGACAATTAATTGATGCATTTTCCCGCAACAAAACCTGGTTAATAAATTGGGTAAAATTAATATTAACACAGCGGAACATTGGCATTTTATTCCTGTGCGTAATCACGATCTCGAGTACTAGTTTCGAGAATTTGTAGCCGATATGCGTGGATTCGCGATTCATACGTACTGTTCCTCCGCCATCATCACGAAGATAACGTTAGTTTGAAGTGAATTTTAATCTTCCTAAAAGAATCGACCCGTGAAAATTATTTGCATGAAACAGATTTTGTATTATACTTAATTGATAATAATCGAATCCAAACAAAGAATTTTGGTTATTTTATTTCATTGATTGGAAAATTGTATATCATGAAATATGGAGTAGCATAACCTCACAATGAGATTGTGGAAAATTTAGAGCTTCTCCCGCAAATTTTTGTTGTTGAAAACGCTTAATTAAGGTGCCCTCTAGCCAATTTTATCAATTTTCATCCATTAGGTTCTCTGAATTTTCTTAAACACTATTCAGTGGTTACATTTACATGTAGGTACTATTGGATTTCATTGTTTAAACTGTAAAATAAACTTTAAATATGACGTATATTCTTAAAAGTAAAATTGGATATAGCCCCACGATCACCTCCTGTTGATGTAATGTAATGATGCGCAAAATTAATAAAACAGGAGTACATTTCTAATTCTAATTCAAACTACAGATAATATACTTTGTTTTGAAGTCTAAGCAAATAGTAAAGAGTAAAAAATAATTTTAGTTGGGGTATAAAATGCTTTTAATTGGTTTGGGGGGGGGGGGCGATTCGAGGGGCCCATAGGCGCATAATATGTAGATCCGGCCCTGGTCACCGTGTAAAAGCATTTGATTACACTTAGAAGTGATGTGTATCACTTTAACTACTACGTACTTCAGCTGCGGTTGGTTTTAGTTTTCAAGTCGACGAACCCACTTTCCCAAAACCAACATCTCATTTCCACGTTGAACGCTTTCCGCTGCGTAGTTATCGTTTTTATTGGGAACAGTCTGTTTTTCGAGTGTCACCCTCAACATAACCCATTAATTATCCTTTGATTTAAAGAAGCGTTTGATTGTGTTAATAAATTTTTCCCGGTAACTATTGGATGCGTTTATTAAGAAAAACTGAGCGTAAGGGTAACAGAAATTCATTTGAAGCAAAAGGCCAGCAGTAATCAATTATATTTTGCCCGGACATACGTGTACGTCCCGCAGTAATGGTACGATGCTCTCGGGGCACTTTGCCAAATATCTGAAACTCGCCGAACTGTCTCCATTCTACAGCAAAATTGTTATTTATAAGGAACGCTAACAAAAAATGTAGAGGCTTTAAAATAAACTTTCCTCTTTAATATCCTCGGTATTCTACACAATCAGCCCATTGCAGTCATTGAATATTCCAGTCTTTTAGTTTAGTTAGCTGTCACTTACCTATCAGGAGAGAGGAACGTATTTATCTTTGACTTTCAATTCGAAGGTTTTCTCACAACTTCAAATAATGTGACACAAAATTATACAACATAAATTAGAAACAGTGAAGTATAATAAAGTAAACTAAATGCCTTTGGTCCAAAGCTTTCGATTTATATGTCGCGTTGTTTGCTAATCCTAATCTTGGTCGGAATTAACTACTATTGATCAGGCTGCATTAGGTGATTATCCTCACGCCTTAGGCGTAGGAAGACAAATTAAAAATAAACCAAATTATCACCGACAGTAGTCCCGTATTGACTTGTATTGGAATTCGCTCCCCTCTTCGTTCTGCCGGTATGCAATTTTGTTATGCGGAACTTGAACTTTATACTCTAGGAAAAGATAGTGGTGTCTCGATACTAAAAGGGTCTACATAAGTAAAGGTAGGAGGAGGTGAATTGATGTCTGCTAGAAAAAGTTTTGCAGCTTCTCCGGAAGGATCACTGTGAAAAATGGGGGCGATGCAAATTCAATGTTCATAAGGTATAATAAGCCGTTATGTGGCTCACTTTCTAGATTTTAAGGTCCTGTGGTGTTTTAGAATATACCTGCAGAGAGATTGAGAGAACTTATCACGTATCTACTCGTCAATCAAAGGTAACTTATATAGCGATCCTTTAAAGTTGAATTTTGGATAGTTAATTTTTAATTAAAAAATTTATGCGCTATCTTTCTTGCGAAAACGACAGACCTCATTTTCCAAAAAGCCTCGGCACTTACATATAACGTTTTCCCAATTCTTAATGAAAATCCTTATTTTTTCAAAGTTATAAATATTCACACTCGAAAGGAATGTACAGGTAATATTGCTATAATATTGCTTATATTAATAATAACTTTAGGAGACGATGAGAGGCTGATAGAACTGATGATAATAATACGCTCATGTTAACGCGTCTGTAGACAGCTGAATACTAACAGTTAATAAAAAGAGGTTTTTAAACACATTTGAAAAATACATTAACCTTGCAACTAAGTGATTCTTATCTTGGCTAAAGTAAAATGGGTTCTGACTATAGCTTCGTGTGGTTTGCATATTGGCTAAAGTAAAATGGGCCTCGTCTGGATTGTTGTAGAGTAAGGCGGATCACGTTGCGAGATGTTGACGAGTTTCGATCACGTGGTCGATGATGTTTTCGGAAACTTATTTTGATTATTTCCGAGAAATGTGAATAATTTCGTGGACTTTCGACCTTTGATTCGATCGACTCCATAATGGATACATATTGTCGTCGTGGTGGTGGGGCTCAGTACCCACTATTTTCAGTTGCGATTCTAGGCTCTTTTGGTGGAAGGTCGATTGCCATTTGTCGATACACGAGTAGAGTTTCGAGAAATCGGACTCGGTAATAAAGGAAAATATATCGACACGAGTACTCAGGGTAGTGGGAGCCCCAGGGACTAGCCACCCCTGCT